CGAACGAACGGGTGCACTTTTAGACTCGGGATCTACACGATCCTACATTTCTGAGAGAGCTATTCGCAAACTTCATCTTGGAATGAAGGTAAAATGTTTAGCACAACCTATCACGTCTATTCTTGCTGATAAAAGCACGATCACTGTCTCTCATTATGTCGATCGTGTGAAATGTAAGTTCAGAACTAAAATTGGAAAGAAGATTGTGCACGAAATCTCCTTCTTAATTGAGGAGAACTTGCCTTTTGATATGATTCTGGGAATGGATTGGCACGAGGAAGCCAACCCAGAAATCAAGTTCAAGGAAAAGGAAGTACGCCTGAAAAACGCACAATCTGAACTCGAGGGCATCACACTGTATCAAAAGTCTGGATCTGACTCTACGCTGCCTTTTTGTTGTATGAGCTATCCAGCTTTTCGATCGATGGTCAGGAAGAAGCAATTGGATCAGGAGGTAATGATGGTGTTGGTAAAGGAAGTTGGTGAGTCTTCGACACCTTATCCTCCATCGATACAAAAACTCTTAGATGAGTATAAATATCTACCATAGATACAAAAACTCTTAGATGAGTATAAATATCTATCTCAGGAATCTACTGGGATCACTGGGCGTGTTATCAAGCACACTATCAAGATCATTCCTGGAAGTAAGACTCCCAAGGGCCCTATCTATCGAATGTCGCCTAGGGAACTTGAGGAATTGCGCAAGCAACTCCAGGAATTAACTGACAAAGGATGGATTCGCCCTTGTTCCTCACCTTATAGAGCGCTTGTCTTATTTGTGCCCAAAAAGGAAGGTGAGTTGCGTCTATGCATTGACTATAGAGGGTTGAACTCCCTCACTGTGAAAAACGTTGAACCCCTACCACGAATTGACGACTTGTTGGATCAGCTGCAAGGATGCAAGTACTTCAGCAAAATTGATGTGAAGTCGGGGTACCACCAAATCGAGGTGGCGCCTGAAGATCAACACAAGACTGCTTTTCGAACCAAGTATGGACACTACGAGTTTGTGGTCATGCCCTTTGGTTTGACGAATGCCCCTGCGACCTTCCAAAGGTCTATGAACGAATTGTTTCGACAGTGGTTGGATCAGTTTGTAATTGTATATCTCGATGACATCCTAGTCTACAGCAAAACGCTGGAGGATCACGAGAAACACTTGCGTCTCGTCTTGGGTAAGCTACGCGAAGGTAATTTTAAACTTAACCCAAAGAAGTCTGAGTTTGCAAAATGTGAAGTGCTCTACTTAGGGCATATAGTTAACGAAGAAGGACTCATACCGGAAGCGAAGAAAATTTCAGCGATTAGAGATTGGCCACAACCAAAGTCCATCACTGAGTTGAGGTCTTTCCTTGGGTTAGCCAGTTACTATAGGAAGTTTGTTAGGAACTTCTCCTTAGTTGCTGCTCCCATGAGAAGACTCTTGAAGAAAGGAACCATATGGTTGTGGGACAAGGATTGTGAGTCATCAATGAAGAAGTTAAAATATGCACTGACTCACTACCCTGTTCTGAAAATCGTTGACCCATCTCTTCCCTTTATTGTGACCACTGACGCAAGTCAGTATGGAATTGGCGCAGTTGTACAGCAGGAAGATGGTAAGGGTTACAGACCTATTGAGTTCATGTGTGCCAGACTTCCTACTCAGAAGGTCGCCGACTCCACTTACGAAAGGGAATTGTATGCGCTTGTCTGTGCACTGAAATCTTGGAAACACTACTTGTTAGGGAGGCACTTCACTGACTACTCTGATCACTCGACACTGAAGTGGATAAAGACTCGACCAAGACTCTCTGACAAACTAGTACGATGGTCTGCTTTCCTCGACACCTTTGACTTTGAGTTGAAGACAATCAAAGGTAAGTCTAACGTTGTGGCAGATGCATTGTCTAGGAGAAGTGATTTCTTTGGAACCATTGTCTCCTAGTTGGATATAGGAAATGATGTACAGGAACAGATTCGACAAGGCTATGCTAATGATCCTATCTGGAAACCCATCATTGACCTTGTCACTAAGGATCCTGCCCTGTGACCCAAGTGTAAGATGACAAATGGATTGCTTTTCTTGATAGACGAAACTGAACAACGGTTGTGTATTCCTCACGAAGAAGAGATTAAAAGTTTGCTGATTGGGGAATGTCATGACTTTGCAGGACATTTTGGTTTCAAGAAAACTTATGCAGAAGTAAGAGAACGCTTTGATTGGAAAGGACTAAAGGAAGATGTACTAACATATGTGCGTACTTGTCTGGTATGTCAGAGAAACAAACCACCACATGAGAACCCTCTGGGTCTACTAAGGCCCCTACCAATTCCCAGCGAACCAGGTGAGTCTATCTCCATAGACTTCATGAGTCTCGTCAAGAGTTGAAATAGCAACAGTCAAGTGATGGTTGTAGTTGATCGTTTCTCTAAGTATGCAATGTTTATTCCTTTGCCTGCTGAAGCTAAAACTGAGCTTGTGATCCAGAAGTTTCAGATGCGATGGGTAACTGAGTATGGATTCCCACTGTGTATCGTATTTGACAGGGATGTGAGGTTCACAAGTATGCCATGGCAAAAGCTGATGGAGGCATACGGCACTCGTTTGACCATGTCGTCAGGACGCCATCCTGAAACGAATGGGCAAAGCGAGCAAATGAACTGCTTCTGCCAACAGCTCTTGCGCATGTATGTCAGGCCCGATCAGATTGATTGGGACGAGAACTTACCAAAAATAGCTAGTGCATACAACAGTAGCGTCCACACTGCAACCGGACGCACTCCTAACGCACTACATAAAGGATGGAAGCCGCGACGTCCCATTGATGTATTAACCAGGGACCAATTTTTACGGCTACCGCCAGGAACCCGTGAATATGCAGTTCTGTTCCAAGAAGACATCCAGAGAGTTAAGGAGAATCTAAAGAAAGCACAGGAACAGATGATTAATCAGGCCAACAAACATCGAAGACCTGCTAACTTTCAAGTAGGTGACATGGTTTGGGTAAAGTCTAATGAGTCCTCCTTGGAAGAAGACGTTTCACAGAAATTGCTGCCTGTCTACTTTGGGCCCTGGGAAGTTCTCAAAGTAATTGGAGATGCAGAGGGACCGTCCTACAGAATTGATATTCCCCCGCATCTCAAAACCTACCGTGTATTCCATGCCTCTAAGTTGCTACCGTATGTGGAGGGAGATGAATTTCCTAACAGGCCTTCTATGATTCCACCTTCAATGAACGGAAGTTATGAAGTAGATCAGATTGTAGACCATGGGTTCTTCTCCACCGGAAGGCGTGGACGACCGCAGAAGCAATTCAAGGTAAGATTTAAGACTTAAAAACCATCCGAGGATCGGTGGTCCAGCAAACAACAGCTCCTTGAAACTGCTCCTGTTGGGTTGAAAGGTTAATTATTTCTGCGATGAAACTCGAAATTGGGTCGGCAGGAATGCAGTAACCCGCACTCTGCAGAGGCCGGGCTGTGTGACCACGCACTGCCCGGCCCAGCCCAGCGTCTGGCCAGTGAGACCCAGCGCTGGACTGGGGAAATTCAAAGGTCAAAGTCAACTGTCGGGTCACAGGTACCGTACCCAAGTCCACGAACAGATACACACATGTGTTGTATGCAGGTACCGGGCCAAGACATCGGACCAAGGGAGAAACAGTTGCAGACCGATGCAGGCCGTCACCGCATCAAGATCTTGACGGCACAGGACCACTGCAGCGGGGCATTGACCCCGGGTCAACGCTACTTAAAGTTGACTCCTGGCTTTGACATTATTTCATTCTGTCGTGAGTCAAGGCTGACTCTACTTTGACGCGACGCTGGCTTGTGAAGTGCTGGCTAATTGCTAGCTGGAAGCTGGCGTTTCTCAGCGGCGACACGCTGCTTGCTTGCTGGCATGGGGGCTGGCTTGCTCTTGTCTACAAGGTGCTGACGTGGCAGCGCCAYRTGTCRTTGCTGACGTGGCTGCTGCCACGTAGGGTGTTGGTGACGTGGCTGTACCACGTGTTCATTCGCTGTTCAGGCTATCGTCGTCCGGAAGGAGGTCAGGGACTGTGGGGATGAGATGACACGTACCTGTGTGAGGCGACATTGCTGCTCCGTTGATGAAGAGAATGCTGATGTGCCACGTGGCACCTTGAGGAACTCAGATCTGTATCTGGATTGACGTTGCTGGAGGGGGGCGACTCTGATTGGCCCGAAGGAGAAGTGGGCAACTTCTCTTCTAAGTCTTTTCTTCCCCCCTCTCTCTCTCTCGTCTATGTATGTATATACTCGGATAGTGGAACAGATCTGTTCGACATTATTCATCAACAAGACTGGATTACTCGAGTTGCTTTGTCATTTAGCCATTGGACTATTGCTGCATGAGCGCTGATGCTCGTGCGTTGCTGCGAACAGTATCTGGATGTTCAATGAGTGTTATCTCGCCTGGGTTCATTGCAAAATGATCTTACTGTCTTCCCCCGAGCACTGCACGCCCTCATCATTAACGAGTTAACATATGCACTTTTCCCGGCCCAATATGCTGATGGGAAGGGTGCGTTGTTTTCGGGGGAAGACGGTCATTCCGCTGATTTTTTTGCCTGTGTTTGCTGTTGACACAATCACAGGAAGGACTGCTTATGCTGATTGACAGTGATTGTTCCAACAGCAAAGGGTATTCAAAGAAGACTATTAATTTATGCAATTACTGTGTTCTTGTCACGCTTTGCTTTTGTGTCGTTATCCCTCCGACACTGTTATTACCAACAACTGCTTCAACTACCAGTAGTTTTCTCTGCCACAGCCGTGACTTCTACGGCACGGCCTACTGGAGCAAAATGGCTGGCGGTAGCAGTCGAAAAAGAAAACGCGCCGGTTCGTTTTTTTTGGGGCGCGCAGGGGGAAATCCACTTCGGCAAAAGGAAGCCTCTAAGTACTGGTGGCTTGAAGAATAGTATTTTGCTCTTTTTTGGGGTTAAGTAACTTACGTTATTAACTAATAATTATCCTGGCGATGAATGATGCAGGGTGTAGTTACCGAAGCCCAAGCGCAGACAGGTGGGGAGATCACGTACACAGTAGTGGAGACCTTGGGAGAAAGTGGAGGAAAGGCAGGCACCGCTTGTGGCGCAGCAGAGGGGGCAGTTATGCTAGAAGAAGAGGAGGGGGAGAGTGCGGTGGCGTCAATCGAAGATCAACGGCAGCATGAGCTCGAAGTTTACGAGGTACATACAGCTGAGTTCACAGCCTTAAACCTTATGCCCGCAGTCGCCGGCAGGAGTTCGGGGCTGGAGTTGGAAAGACTGGAATGTGGTGAGGTTGTTTGCGACCCCAAATTCTTTCTTAAATTACAATCTGCAACAATATGCAAGCCACATGGCTGTCCCTTGGTCTCTTTTCTTTCGTTGTTTTTTTTTTTTTTTTTTGTTGCTGTCCTTCATTCTCAATTCCATCCTCTGTCCCTTCCTTCTCTCGCACCGCTCGTCTCCCCCCACATCCCCCACCTAGCCTGCACCACAGCCTTCTATAACACCGCCCCTGGACTGATCACGAGTAAAATAGAGTGCCGTAATCTCGTTACGATTCAGGCCATGTTTGATGCCCGCACTTTCTGCGTAATTGCATGGCCAAGGGCTTTTGGTATAGGCCCTAGGGGGAAGGTATACCATTCTTTGTGTGTACCCATCTCTGCATCCGTCAGCCACTTCAACTCATGATCAGTTCATCGAAAACAGCTACTTATGTATACCATTCAGCTGCATTTTATCATCATTGTACGATTGCAGTATTGTACCCATCTGATTCCGTCATGATTCAAACTCACGATCTGCTTATCGACAACAATTCCCTGCGTGTACCGTTCAGCCCCCACATGGGCTGGGAAAGGATGGTCAGTTGCCTAGGTCTTATCTTATTGAAGAAGCCTTCTGGGACCCCTTTGTAGTATTTGTTTTTAGGTTTGGGCATGGCCTCTCATGGGGGAGAAGGTTGCAATTGCACAGATGCATTGTTCCTTGGCGTTTATCCTTGTTATCTATACTGCAATTATCTCACGATTCCACACGGCTTCCGCAAGACGCTGAATTTCCGTGAAATCCTTTCAGTACTGTCTGGAACGGGGAGTTGGGATGTTTGCCATGAACTGGACACGACTTATTTCATGCGTACCCTTCTTCCTGTCGTGCATGCGCGAAAGACGCGCATGAATGAAAAAGGTTCCGAAAACAATCTTTCGTGTTTTGATGGGTGCTTTTCATGCTTTGGCCATTCGTGTGTCTTTCGCGTTTGAGAGCATATTCAACACTAGCACACGCTTAAAAATGTGTCTAACCGTCATTACGACTCTGCTTGCATGTATCGGACGGTAATTCCGTCCAGATTCCAGAAATAAGTAAAATAGTCCTATTATGAGTTATGCACTTAGTCTGAGCTTGTGGATTCATGCATGAAACCCACTCATGAAATAAGTTGTCTTTCACAATAGAAGAGACCCGTGAAAGCGACATGACATCCCGCGAAAGACTAGTCATTTTGGTGGGGACCACACCCGCACCCATTGCCTTGTCAGTGCAAAGTGCGCTATGGCCCATTCACACTGCGAAAGCTCCTCATATCATGTGTTATACATATTCTAGGTCGGCCTGTGAAAGCCACATGACATCCCGTGAAAGACTAGTTACTTCGGTGGGGACCACAGTGGCACACCCGCACCCATCTACGGCGCTATGGGGACCACAGTTATTTCGGTGGGGACCACAGTGGCACACCCACATCATGTGTTACAGGTTCCAGGTCGGCCTATCCGCTAATCCTCATTAGCACAGTCCATTCATCATGTTGAGGGGGAACTGCTATTGAAAAATGAAAAGACTTACTCTGAAAGGACTATCCACAAAGAATCGATGAGAAGACTTATGCTTCCTGCCAAGGTGGCGCTATGCGCTTTTGGAGCCAACACAGCAAAGGGCCGGCCAAGGCGGTTTGCGAGATCTGAAAAGTTGCTGGAGGCAACATGGCATTGGACGACAAGCGGCAGCAAGGCACATAGGCTGCAGGGCACAGGGGAGGCCGGGGGGGGCAAGACAAACTTAACAAGGCAAGCAAGCCAACAAGCCGCAAGGCAAAGACGACGAGGCAAAAGAGGAGCGGACAAGAGAAGTACAAGTAGCAAAAGAACGGGGAAGAGCAGAAAAGAACAATACTGATGATGACAGATTCGTTCTGTCTGACGTGCACCAACTGGTCAGGTGTCTGAACCCTCGACAATCTGCAGAATCCCCCCATATCGGTGCTTTGAGTCATGAACCCTCTGACTGCTGGTGAAAGCAGACAGCCTGCAGCACAAGCAGCAAAGCAACGAGGCAGCAAGGCACAAGGCAGCACTCCCAAATCAGCCAAACTGCAAGGCAAGCAAGTATGACTGGTGTGGAAAGACCAGGCAATGCAAACAGATAGGCAGCTAGACAAACAGCGCAGCGAAGCACAAGGCAGATTTGATAAAACATGGCCAAACTAGACAACACACAAGGCAAGGCAAACGGACAAGCAGCTAGACAAACAACGCAGCGAAGCGCAAGGCAGACTCAACAAAACACAGCCAAACTACGCAACGCACAAGCATACTGCATGGAATGACAAGGCATGGAGATGGGCAGCAAGGCAGAAGCGCAGCGAAGCACAAGAGAATGCCAACAACGCAGCCAAACTACACAGCAAACTAATCAGCTGGAAGGAAAGCCATGGGAAGCGGGATGGGCAGCAAGGCAGCAGAGGAGCGCAGACAAGGCAGTCTACACGTCGACCCTGGATCAAAGTGGTTCATCGCCTACTCACACAACAAGCACAACCCCACATACTGTTGGTTCCCACCACCCTTGGAGCCAGGAAGCCAATCCAACGAACGTATGTTTCTCTCATATACCTTTGACCACAGACGTAGCGAATAAAGCGCCCCCCCTAATAGTGATGCAGGCATTCCAAACAATGAACCACGGACTGTTTAGCACTTCTAAGAGGTGCTCACTTGGACACACAGAACGTACTTAGAAAAGCACAGAAGGTACTCAGAAAAGAACAGCAAGAAAGACATACATAAAACTGATTGTGTGTGTGTGTGTGTGTGTGTGTGTGTGTGTGTGTGTGTGTGTGTGTGTGTGTGTGTGTTCAAACCTACTCATGGCGTTATACCACGCCAAGCGGCCCATTACACATGGTACACACGACCTGGCCGTAACCAAACCGGTGATGCATGCTGCCACTCTACTTCTCATGGAGCTTCCTCACACACATGCGCAGCCTGCCATAAGCAGCTTCCCAGACAACCATGCAAGCAGACAAAACAGGCAAACCAAAAGTAAAAACGAGTCTCAAAAAGATGCCCAGTCCAGGAGGTGAATGACAACATGCAAGCACACCAAACAGGCGAACGAGAAAAAAATACAAGTCCCAGAAAGAAGCAAGACCGAAATAAATAAGAGCTGATGATAACAAGATTGTTTCGTCGGAGACTCCGAGTTGCACTGACTCATCAGGAGGCTGAACCCTTGACAATCTGCGGAATTTCCGTATTGGATGGTTCGGGTCACGAACCCTTTGACCCATGTTGAACATAGCAGCGGGCAGCAACCCTGCGGAGCACCAGGCAACGCAGTAGAGGCAACTCACACACTGCACAACGCCAAAAACAACTGCAAGGAACAGCACAGCACACAGGACAAGCAGCGCGCGAACCACGCAGTGAAGCACAAGGCAACACCACCAAGGCGACAGCACTGCAAGGGACGACAGGGCGAGCAGATGAGCAGCACAGCAACCATGCGGTGAAGCACAAGGCACGACCAGCGGAAGGGCGGCAAGGCAGCGGAGCAGCGAAGCGCAAGGCAACACCAACAACACGCACAGCGAACACAGCAGCTTGCAGCGAACGACATGCGAAGCAAGAGGGACAGGCAGCAAGGTAGCGGCAGAGCGCAGACGAGGCAGTCCACACATCCAACATGGAGCAAAGTGGCACATCACCTACTCACATCACAATTGAACACCGCACACTGTTGGTTCCCTACACCCGTTGAGCCAGGGAGTCGCTCAAACGAACATCTGTCATCACCCGAAGGAAACACAGACATCCCGACCTGAGCGACCCCCTTAACAGTGATGTGGGCACTCCAGACGAGGAATGACTGACTGTTTGGCACTGCTTAAAACCACCAGTTCACGCCCGCGAACTGTTCATAGTATTGCAGTAATCTGCAACCGAGTGTGGGGTGTTCAGCATAGGGCCGGTAAAGGCTTGGCAGCCTTTTCCCGTTGGGCCCATCATAAATCAGCTGCCGGCCTACCGGGTTCAAAGCTCGAACGGCTGCCGATGTGAAAACGAAGGCTGGTCCAGTGTGAGGCACGAACGGCCATTGCAACCACAAAAGATGGGGGGGGAGGAATGCCAAACAGACAACGGCAAAAAAAACAAAAAAAAAAGACAAACACACCACAACCATTTCCCATTTTGTTTTTTTTTGCTGTTGGAGAGAGAGAGAGAGAGAGAGAGAGAGAGAGAGAGAGAGAGAGAGAGAGAGAGAGAGAGAGAG